GCAGCACAACTCGTAACTACAAAGCATGTGCACGCAACAGGTCGTTTCCAGTTATTTTTGGGTCCCCCCTCGTGTATATATATATATATATAAACAGACTTATGTATGAAGAAAACTGCTTTCTTCATAGTCACCGCCGTGAAAGCCTCAAATCTTACAGACTTATGTATATTTGCAGAAACTTGAATCTTTAAAAATGGGTACTCAGTGTTTGGTAATGTGTCTCACTGAAGTTTTTCTTTCATCATATTCTTTTGGCACAAAGAGAGAAGTTAACATTAAAAATAAATTTTTTCTTGTTATTACTATGGGAGAGGGAGATTTTGACAATTAATGTTCAAATCCGAATGCAATCATAAGAAAAAAAAAGTTTTTTTTTTAATATTGCTGAAAGATATTCAAAGATTTACTATTAACTCACATATATCTTTATGTAATATACATGTAGGTATTTATATCGTATAATTTCTTTAAACCTTGTTGCCACATATGACAAGTGTCTATGAACTACTTTTGATGAAATACATAAACCAGAGCCAACAGGCCAAGATTAGGGGCCAGTCTGGGGTGGGCGATAACCCCATTACCTGAGGTGGTAAGGTAAACGTCGAGTGAAGCTCCGCGCTTGATCGGTGGAAATATCTTGCTGTGAGAGCTACAAAGCTTATCTTTGAGTCGTGATTCCAGTGAGCGTATCTGCTGCAAAGGGTCCCCAGACATCAAAATTCAATTATGTGTGTGACAATATCATCACTCCAATCTCTTAAACTTATCTGGCAAGTAAAATGGGAGTACAGTTATGGGCATGAAATTTGCTCTCTTATTCTGAAGGAAGAGCAATGACTGCAGGTGCTTCAGAAATAATAAATAATAATATCTGTAGGAAGTAATGATAAAGAGCTTCATAATGTGCTCCTCACCTTCCTTTAGGTGATGAAATGAACGAATAAACAGCGGGATAATAGTGGATGCAACCTTGGTGAGCACACACTGGCATTCTGAGTCTCTCGCTGTACTCTCATCCCTGAAGAAAGAGCTCACCACTGTAAAAGGTGGAACATCAAAGGTGGGAAGGCCAGTGCATCAGAGACTCTGGAAGACAACAGACTCTGTGAGTGTTGTCTTCCAAAGCCTCTGACACACTGGCCCCCCCCTTTTACAGTGTTCTGTTATCTGTCTAGGTGGAGAGCACAGCTGGAGGCTTGAAAAGCTAGCATGGGCCCACCAACATTGCACACTGTTATTCCTTTATTACTTAAACCAATTACATATCATCTCCATTTTATAAAATTAAATTATTATTAGTATAATGAAGTTTTGTTAACTGTGTTTTTGTAAAGTTCACATGTAGTTGTCGGGACAAGTGTTGTACAACGGTGAGTACTGCTTGTCCTGCTTCAACGACTGGTTCCTGGTCTATTAAAAACTGTTTTATCTTTATGCAGCATCAGATGGTAGGAGGATGACTTGAAATGATGAAATGTAAATCATGTGAAGTAAATGCATGAAACCTACTTCAAGCTGTTAGTTAAACCAGCGAATGAGAAAAATCATAAACAGAACTGTCAGGAAGTTCAGTCTTCATGCCAAGATTTGAATGTAAGATTTACCACACATGAAGGAGTGGTAAATACTAAATCATAATTGGGCAGCGAATTATCAACAGAATTAGAATCTGAATTTGTATTTTGATACATGTCTATATAAAAATAATCTTTGGACAAGTTTCTGCTTCATGCATTCTTAATGATGAAGTACCACATATTTATACATTCAATTAGAACACCAACCTCAAACATATCCCAATATATAGTAACACATTATGCCCTGTGAGGCATCAACGAAAGCTGAATATGCAGGAATAATTAATTACATTTAAATTAACTTTCTGAACACCCCCAACATAAGAGACAAGAGTGAAATCACCATCACTTAAAAAGAAAGTGTTATCATCAATCACTACTTTTAGCACCATATATCAGTGTAGGAGAACAGACTGTCACACAGTAAATGAATATGCCCAACTGATATTTTATCATTTATGATGCAGATTCTTCTTTAAATTGTTTGCAGTGAACTAGAGAGGAATGTATTTAATGGACACACACTTAAAATGAAATAGAAATTACAACCATATCGGAAGTTTAATTAAATGATCATAAATTAAATATACAGATGAATTACAATATATCAAACTAGAATTCATTTATAAATAACAATTAATTTCATAAAAAAATCATGTTTTCATGAATTCCGTTCTCTATCACACCAAGGAATTTTATGCACCTCCACTGAACTGCAGGGAACACAAACAAAAACAAAACATACAAACAATTTCACAAGTGAGCTGTGACATGTATTACCTCAAACAAAAGTAGAGGCTTCTCCTTATCTTCCTTGTAATACTCAATGTTGCATGTTACCAGGCCCTGTGGGAAACCTCGGAGAGTGACATGAGTCCCTCTGTCACCTGTCAGTAGGACAATGAAACTGCCTGCAAAACTGAACATCTGCTGCCTTTTCAATCCAGGTATGTAATTTGCTAACACTGCTTCCATGTCATCCTGTAGGCTTCTACTTTCCTCTGAATATGTAACAAAAAAGAAGTAAGAGTAATGTAAGCATATCTAAGAAAAATATAAAAACGTTATGAATTAATTATGACTACCTTCCTCTGGCTGTCAACTTCTGTGGACAGAGGCTGTTGTGTGGTCAGCACCATGGATTCCCACAGCCGTTAATCTCAGTTTTCTAGACCGAAACCGCTACTTTTCCATTCAAGCAGTTCCTCATTCATCCTCATGAGGCTGAGTGAACCCCGTTCCAGACCCACTACTTCTCAGAAAATCTGGCGGCGCCGGGAATCGAACCCGGGATCCCTGGATCTTTAACCAGGAACTCTGACCACTAGACCACTAACTTTTCCAAAAAGTGGCAGTACCTCGGATGGTATAGTTCACTTGCTGACTAAAAGCCACGGAGTTCAGTTTTTTAGTTTTTCTTCTGGCTGCCTTCATCTGAATGTACAAGACATTCAAGCCTACAAAAATTAAATTATTTAGTCTAGGGCTCAATAAATCCCAGGAGCCTGATCCTATGCCACCTAAAATATTGACTGTGGTGCCTAGTGAATACTGGAGTGTAGTTTTAAGGGTTTTCTGTTCGCATCAATAAAACATTTTGCTCCAAACATGTAATGAATGATGTTTTACAAAACAGCCACTTCAACAAGAAGTCTGTATCATACTATATTATGCTCTAATGAATATTAGGGGTCCTGTAGAGGGAACTATCCAAAGATATCTTTTACTATTGCAAGAATTTTGTGTGACAGCAGTATGTATTTTGAAACTACTAATAAAAAAAGAAGATTGTATTTCTAATCTTTCTTTGATTTCTATTCTTCATCTTAAGTTTTGGAGGTGGTGTGTAATTCCTCTAGTACAGATTCCGACTACATTGCATCCATGACATACACTCTCAAAGATCTGGAAAATCATCATACTTGTAAATGGTCACAGAAAAAAAAAAACTATTTTAAGTAGAAATTGTAGCTGTGATCACCAGACTTTTCAGTGAGCAAGACAAACTGTTCCTCATGGGCCCAACTGAGTAGAATCATTTCCCCTATTACACCTGATGACAGACGCAGCTCAAGCTTCTAAAATGTCATATAATTTAAATATTAAAGTCTAAGAACATTTTCCAACATAATTTTATAATGAAATATTGAAGACTCTCCTATGTGATTGCATACTAAAAATAAGGTAAAGCTATACGTGTAACAGGCCATGGATGCCCACAGGATTGAGATGTCGAGGCTCCCACATTTTCTAGACAATCGGCTCATAAATGAAGATGAAGTTGTCAGCCTTTATGTACCAGCTGCCTTTCGGCCCCAGGAAGATTTCTGGCACTTATTTATGTTAAAGGCTGAGTAGGATCCAGGGCCATAGAGCAGCTTGAAGGATTAGATAAATTAAAAAAAATCCAGTGACCTCATCGGCAATCAAACCCATGACCTTTGGCTTTGTAGCATAGTGCCTCAAACAACTATGTTACCACATGCCTCTGACAGAAGCTCAAATATGCAATCACCATATTGTAAACGTGTTCCCATTTATGATGTAACATTTATATTACCATACACCTTTTCCCTGTACTTCACAATTGTCTACACTTTCCAAATTCAAATGATCAAAAGCATTACAGAAAGTAACGTACAGTGGAAAATATTTCTAACCTGCACTGGTAAGTTTTGTTGAGGTCACCGAGAAATCCAGAAGAACCGTGTTCACAGCCATGGAAAACAGAAAGTGAAATTCTTGATAAGCTTTTTGTTTCTAAGTGGATCCTGGAAGAAAAAATTTACAAAGTTAAAACTTAACTTCTGCCATTCACATTAGAACTCCTTTTGTTATTTATTATTCCATAAACACATTAAGAAGTTTGGGTTTAGTCAGATCATTTCATACAAGTAGTCCTTCCTGCACAGTATCATGTGAAGTAAGAACTCTCATTAGCAAATACCGTATTTACGCATGTATAGGCCAAAGCACAATTTTCAGACAGAAATTATAGAAAAAATAATTTTCTTGGAATATTATTTCAGGAGTATTACACCCTGTATTACTAATTATGAATATAATTTTTTTTAAATGAAGTGTGATTTTGATAAGCCGCACCCCAGTTTTCCTCTTGAATTTTTGGCAAAAAATGTGCGGCCTATACACGCGTAAATACGGTACATATGGTTCAATAATATATTATCGTGGCATGTAGACCTGTTACTAGGCAACAACCATGAAACAAGCAACATACAACAGTCTTTGCTAAGTAATGACTCTGCAAACAATGGCTGCTGCTAGGGAATTGTTCAGTAGTGATCATGTGGTCACCCAAATAGACACTAATGCAAAAGTGGGGTAACTCTGGGAAGTGGTGTTCTCTGTGCAATCCATGCCGAGATGTTAAAAGCGGGACACGCATTCTAATGGCGAACTAATTGGATGATGTGACTGTGAACATTAGTGCGTGCATAATAGTGAAATGTTAGGTGTTGTCATGCACTGAATCAGAGAGTCCAATAAATCCAATCATCAATCCAAAACCAGTCTAAGTCACACTTCATAAAATTTTGACATTATGATACAATCACATTTAATACTGTATTAAGTAAGTAAAGGTATCCCTGTAACAGCCCACGAAGGCCCATACGGTTGTGAGACGCTGAGGGTCCCACATTATCTAGACCAGCCCCCATAGCCACAAAGTGCGGCCCCTCAACTTTTAGAGCTAATTGATATTAAAATAAATATTAACATTTTAGTAGAAATATTTTTTATAATGACAATTTTCCAACAGACCAGAAGACAAGAAGTCTCACAGACATAAATTAGCAGGCTGCATGAAAAGTGATTCTAAGAATTGCAGAAGGGTTTGTCCAACTAACGGTTTGTAAAGTTCGTGAAGGCCAAACTACTGTATTTCAAAAGGTTAATGCACTAAAATCCGCACAGCCTCACCACCCCAAGTATTTCCAAGAATCCCTTTTGGAGGCATAGTAAGAATGCAAGGAGGGTGGCAACTGACAGACAAGTGCAAGGGATTTCTACCTTCAAAACTAGTCTGCAACCCCCAGCCATTGTCTAATGGGCTGCTAGCAAACTTTCACTTTTATGACCACTGAGACAAGATACACCTTCCTACTAGTCTGGTAGTCTCTTGTACATTGTCATTCAGTTCATTTTCACACAGCGACGGGTGCTAATGTTACATTGTGATGAACACATAAAGGTTATAATTAAACATTAAATTATCAACTACAATTTTTCTTGTAATATGTACAGTAACTTTTAAAGGGCAATGTCACTTTAAAAAAAATTCAAGTAGCAAAAAAAGAACTACTGAAAGTGAGCGCCGTGTTTTTCAAGAAAAATGGGAAACCGCTTATTTCTGTTGTGAAATAGAAGGTAAAATTACATGTTTCATTTGTGAGCAAAATATAGGTGTTCCACTTTAGGTAATTATATTGAAATTATTCCTAAATAATAAATAGAATTAAATTTCCTTGTATCAAAATCAAATGTATATTTCTATTTTGAAGTGCGGCCCTGGACTATTATTTATAGGGCTGAGGTGGTCCTCTGTACAAGTTGAGTTTGACATGCTTGATTTAGACAATCGGCTCAAAGATGGTGGTAAGGGTGTCAGCCTTACGTGCTGGCCGCGCTTTACTCCCCAGGAAAATTATTTATTTAATTCCTGGTACTCATTTCTGTTAGAGGGTGAGTGAAGCCCAGGGCCATAGTGCGGCAGGAAGGATTAGGTCAATTGAAAAAAATCCAATGACCTCATCGGTATTTGAACCCGCAACCTTCCGACTTGTAGCATAGTAAAGCGTGGCGGGCGTGTAGGGCTGAAAACCTTACTGCCATCTTTGAGCTGATTGCCTAGATAATGTGGGACCTTCAACGTCTCACAACCCTATGGGCCTTCACAGCCTGTTACAGGGATAGCTTTACTTTTTTTTTTACTTTATTACCGTTTCTTACTGAAGGACACGTGTTCTCCCATTTGCCACCCTGAAAATGCAGTTTCCTACATCTTCAACAAAAAAAAAAGTTTTTAAAAATTAAATTACTAAAATAATTTTTTGATAATGTTGCTAACATTTGCATTTCAAATTTCCCATCCAACCTGAGGTTTTATTACACCCAAAGATAACATGTTTAGCATCTCTAAATTCTCCAAAGAATATGGACAAATACAGTAAACCATCACTAATTTGGAGGTGAGGCCATCTGGATTAAGCAATAATCCAGATTAGTGAAGCAAAAGGTAGCCCTGAAAGGGGGGGGGGGACCTAGAACCAAATAAATGGAAAATTTAACAGTATTAGTAGTGCTGATGATAATAAATAACAAAACATCACTGTAAGACCTTTATTTAAAGACTCTAAAAATCAATACATTTATTCATTAATAGAAGACTCAGAAGTTGTACCTGTTTTTGAACACAATAATGCAGGCTTGAAAAAAAAACTTTTTTTTTCTGGTCAGACAAGTAATTCATCTGCCTTCCTAAATCCCTTAATGTCTTTCAAAGTATGTACTCAACTGTGAGAAGCATTTTCCATTTTGATCTGGATTAACTGTAACCAGGTTAGTGAGGGTTTACTGTACTTTCTAGTTTCACTTATGCATTTTTCAGTTTCTAGATTCTCAGTTTTCACCAAGTGATACAACATTTTTCATTCATACTACATTTGGTATACTCTTCACTGCATTTACATGCTAAAGCAAAAGATTAATCATGACCTGAGGCCCTTGAAGGCACCCCTAATAAATTTTCAAATATACAACTTCTGTGGCCTAGTAGCACAACTGCCATATTTTCAATACATGTAGGGTTTTCAGTTTTGAAGACTTGTTTTTCTGGGTAACTGACGATGTTCTGACTGACAAAAAAGATTATGACTGCAAACTGTTAAGGATTTGGAAGGATGCAGTCATGGTTTATTTCAAGATACTATACCAGAATTCATTAAAAAAAAAAAATGGCTTCTGTCCCTGCTGTCTATAGTGCAGCCAAGCTTTCCCAACAAAAGATGCCTGCCACTTTCCCACTCCTTAATTACATGGAAAAAACGAAATATGTTACATAACTAATACTGAATGCTGGTGCCTTTGGGATCACAGTAATCTTGTAGTAACTGCTGTACAAATTCAAGTCTTCCATTCCTATAAAACAAGGAATATTTATGTGGCAATCAGTGCATTCACCAACAGAGTTTACGTCACATCTGCAGCAAATTACACAATGGATGCTGACTAGGTTTCCCCACTGTCTTGTACCATCTGTGTATAAAATCTAACATGAGATAAGACCAGCAGTTGGCAAGAAGTACCTATTTCCCAAAGATCCATTTTAATATTATTCTATCTATACCTTAGTTTCCCATGTGAACATTTCCATAATATTTTCCAACCACAATTGTGTTTGTATGTCATTTCTGTTACCAATTAGTACTAAACATCTAAGCCATAAGAATTTCCTGCGCTTAAAAGAAAATAATAATAATAATAATGATGGGAGTGGGCCCAACTCATACATTTAGAGGCCTATTTAAGAAGCTTGGCATACAACCAATCCCATGTGTATATTTGCTCTCACTGATGATATTTGTTGTAAATAACTTGGATAAGTTTCAGACCAATAACTCTGTATATATGATTAGAACAAGAAGGAATGACCACCTTCACATACCTACAACACATTTATCATCCTATCAGAGGGGTGTACTATTCAGGCTATTTAATACTCTGCCGCCATATATCTCTGTTATAAAAAATGATAAAAACCAATTTAGGTTTGTTTTAAGAAATTATTTACAAAGAAACTCATTTTACTCTATTTGCAAATTTGTCGAGCATGCATGTTAAAGAGTGATTAACTGGTCTGTGTTCTTGAATTATAAGTTGTTGAGACTCGCGTGTTGTGTGGCAGTATGTATGATGACTGTAGTTGTTATGTATCATGTAATATGTTACAATTAAATTGTATTGATGATATGGCTGGCCAATGTACGTGTAATGGTAGGGAGTGCAATTGTGCCGCATATGGTTATGGTTGGAAAGAACGTGACTGTGGTGTTTCCACAGACTATGTGGAATGTCTTGACAACCTGCGCTGTCCGTGTGAAGCCCCGGATTTTTTACTATATTGAACCAAGGACATATGATGTGTGGTCATCATGAATTTGCAATGTATGACATGTTTTATATTCAGCCCTTTTTGAAGGTGATTGGATTGATGAAAATGTAAATGTATTTATTCATATTTCATATTTATTCCCAATTCCATAGATCCAGAGGGGCTGGAAGGCCACTGGATGTGGAACAAGTCCCTTACATGCATAGTTTCAAAAATGATTGAAACCAGTCAACACAATAAATTTTCTTATACATGATCAGACAAATTACAAAAACATGCAAGATAGTCACAATATTTATACACAAAATAGTACATTTAAAAACATAAAGTTGACATTTTACAATAAAAATAATAAAAATATACACTCATAAAATCAGCAATTTCAATACTTTAGATATATTCAAATTTCAAAATTCTCATTTATAACAATAGTATTCCTCCACAGTGTAGAAAGAGTTGGTAGTCAGGAAATTCTTTAATGCCTCTTTTAGCCTAAAGGCTAATTACCCAAAGTCACAGTGTGATTTTCTTGTCTTTCCTGAGCTAACACTTTAAAATTATAAAAAGGCTAAGTCTGCTGCTTTCTCAAGTTGCCATTCATAATCATCCTACTATTCCAGCCTATGCTGCTGTTTTAAAGGTATTGACATATAAACAATAACGTAATTTCAGAAATGAAGGCATGCCTCTTTTTCTTAATTTATACACAGGTTATATAACGCAGAATGGGAAGGAATCAAGGATATGGATGAGCACTGACACACCCTACGGAGGTCCTTTCCTCAGGCTTCTTCTAGGTTTCTCCATTCCACCATGTGTTTTAAGTTAGATTAGAAATCTCAACTATAAATATATATTTTGATGGGCTTTGTACTTATAAAACCGGTTCTGAGAATGGTCTGGTTTACAATCCAAGTAGAAAGACTACCATTTTCAAGGGACTTACTACGCGAAAACCTAAATTCTGGAATAAATTTGGTACATTCTTGGGTACAGTCGGTGTTATCACAGCGAGGGTGTGTAAACCACTGCAACAATACTACATGAAAAGTACAAGTTATGAAGCTCCCCCATTATGTAAGTTCACACACTCAGCACCATCTTCAAATAACTTCCAACTTTGCACCTTAACTCCAAATGGCGCTAAAACTGCTGGATATAATTTGTTTTTCTCAAGTTTTCAAACACTGCATGATCTCCAAAACATGTCTTGTCACACTGTTCATTATACAGCCCAGTTTTAATGTTTTTACAGCATGAAAAAATTAGAATTATTGATGTTTTGGGCATCATCCACTACCTTGGTCTTCTTTTTACTGCAAAGACTGAACTCTGTCTCCATTCTCAGGTAAAAGGCTACTCAGTTGGTCCCAAATGAAAGAGCTAGAACCTATCTCCAGAGACAGGGCCCAGTTCTATTGATTGGACCAAACTGAGTAGGCTTTTACCTAAGGAGGGAGACAAATTTCCCACTTGGCATTTGGCTTCTGGAGTTCTGACAACCTCAGGTGCACAAGAAATGGCAAACTATGCCTGAAGTTACTATCAACATAAAAGTCCTAACAATTAATCTTCCTTTTAAATTTAATTATTTTTCTATTATCTTATGACTGGCCTGCTTGTGTTAGGACAAATACTATGATAGTGGGAATGAATTAATCACATATGCCAGTGGTTCTCAACCTTTGTCAGACCACAGCCTGGTAAATTCTTTTTTCTATAAGAAATGGACCTGGCAATCGAGAAACACTGGTATATGCCAAGAGAATGTGAGCAACAGAAAGGCGCCAGAAAATATCGATCCACTTTTTTCTAAAATATCTGTCTGGCCACAATTTTTTTTTTGGAGGGGGGGGAAGAAAGAAAGAAAAAATGTTTTATATAACTGTGAGTCCAGAAAATTCATTTTTCCTTTATACTTCCTATCACGGGACCACAGCTGTGGCCAACTGTCTCCCACCTGACCACTATCCCGCAACGTTTGTTCAGAAAACCAAAATTTATTAACATTGAGGGACACATCTTACAAGAAAGACCATGAATAATCAAGAATTATATTGTACATGGATGACACTAACAACAGTACCACAACATTAACGAATTTACATCATGTGATTATGGTCCTACTACCGTGGGCAATAACAGTTAAATAACAAAATTCTAAAAAATGTTACAAAACGAATTAAACATTCTGATTAAATTAAATAAATGCTTCATGACGAATCTAATGTCCCTCCATACATCATGCAAATTCTTTAAATGCCTGAAAAATTCATAAAATTAACAAATCCACAAGCTGTTCCCTGCTCAAGGCACCCTCCTCGACCATGGGCACGTCTACGAAAACATTAATAAAAACTATATTGGAAGAAATCTTTCTTTATATATATGGTACGTTCCACCTAAACTTTAGCTCCATTCATTCTCGCACAAAAGAGCCAGAAAACTCGTTTTACATTGTACTAGACGTACTAGATATCCGAATCCGAAGGGTGCTCATGAAAAAAAAAATGATTGCCGTACATATACTACAGACGCGATTCGAAAACGAAACTTCTGATCCTTCAGTCATTATTTCCGCAAGAACTGCAACCTTCGATGCTAAATCATATAATGCAATATACGACTATACCAACTACTGCTCGATTAAAACAAAAATATAGTACAATACTTTTACATTAAAATCACCCCTACAAACACCGGTACCACACTTGAATTCCAACACGCTGTAATACAACTCTTCAACAAGCAGTTACCAGCACGGATCGCACGCATGCATCCACGGAGTAGCACGGAGACACAGATAACGTAATACCCAAACTGGTGGGTCATGATCGGTCATGAGCGGTCATGAGGGTCATGATGGTGATGATAACCACAAGTCTCATCGACGAATGCGGTTATTGCACCGCCATCTTTTAATTTTGGTTTCTATGGCGGTCATGAACCTGCTGACTTCCATAAATAAGAATGACATCTTCACCTTCTCATTGCCAATACCCTATAGAACAATTTATTTCAAATTGAAAATTCTTATGTATGGTAAATTTATACAAAGAAATTTTTGACATATTTGTCTGGTATAATATTCTAATAAAGTAAAGCAGCTCTAGATAGCTGTATCAACTAGCTACCACATTGGTAGCTAGTTGATTCCAGAAATGATCCTTGTTGCCTGGGCTGCATTTTCTACACCTTTGAGAAAAGCTAACATTCAAGCATTGAATTTCATTTTAGAAAACAGAGCAAACTAGAATCATTAAGCCTGAATATTTAAACCATCCTCTCTGCAACGCATCAAAGGGAATGTTCAAGCCCAACATTGATTTCATCCAGTTCCTCTTCAGTGAGCACCCAGTGTTCATATTTGATTCATTCTTTAGTCAGTAATGACAATGATTTTTCTACATTTATTCTGAGTGTACAAATGGTTTTTATTTGGAAGTAGTATCCTTAAATATATACCAGAATCTCTGCCTTACTGTTCACATGAAATACAATACTTATTTCAACATGTAGCTCTCATGTAACATTTTGACATACAAGTAACACAGCAGACTCTTTTAAGAGAGACTTAAAATTCTTTCTGTTGAATCATTCCATTTATTCCGTTGATGAATTTATGTCTCTTAAATTCTGAAGTGAGTGTGTTATGGTTTTATGTTATAACAAATATCTTGTCCTCACTTAATCTATAAAAGAGAATGTTGGATGTTGGGTTTCTTTTGGTATTGAATTGTTGAAAGTGATACGATGTATTGTATGATTGATGTGTATGAAATTTGTAGGTAATTAAGTTTATTAAGCTTCATAGTACTGTTGACTCATGTATGATATGTATGTTATACAGAATGTCCCAGGAGTTTGGTGCCATACTTCAGGAGCACACTGAGGGTTCCCTATAGAATAACTTTGAAATAGGAACCCAAGGCCGCAAATGTAAAATAGCAGCGTTAGGGCGGCATTTAAAATTATTTCGTTTAATCTTGGCTCCTCAATGTTGAACTGCATTGCATAGAGGAACAGCCATCCACCAGCACTCATGCCAGTGCCCAGATTGTGGGGACATCAAAATCAAGTGTTTGCAGGATCCTGCATCACCAACAACTTTATCCGTATCATCCAATGCGAGTACACGACGTAGGTCCAGCTGACTTCATACCATGAGTTCAATTTTGTCAGTGGATACTGAACCAGTGTTTACATCAGCCCAAGTTCCTGAATCACATGTTATTCACAGACGAAGCGCAGTTTACAAGGGATGGTTGGTTCAACTGTTGAAACAGCCATGTTTGGGCTGACGAAACCCCCAACATTACTGTAGTTGGTTACCACCAGGCGCAATTTTCTGTCAATGTCTGGGCGGGCATCATTGGCGATCAATTGATTGCGCCTTTCCTCCTACCACCGCGACTCAATGGGCCCTTTTACAAGGTGTTCCTGGAACGTATCCTTCCGACTTTGCTAGAAGACGTGCCACTGATTGTGCAGAGGCAAATGTGGATACAGCATGACAGAGTGCTGGCACACTTCAGCATTGTATCACGAGACTACCTGGATGCTGCTTTTCATGGTCGTTGGATAGGATGAGGAGTCCCAGTGCCTTGGCCACCCTGATTCCCAGACTTGACACCTCTGGACTATTTCGTCTGGGGCCATGTGAAAAGCCTGATCTACGACACGCCTGTGGATAATGGATTTGAGCTGTTGGCCAGAATACTTGTTGCATGTGACATGATCTGTGAGACACTTGGAATATCTGAAAGGGTGCACCAAAGTTTCTTTTGTCGATGTAACTCATGCATTGAAAATGGAGGGTGCCAATTCCAACATCCACTCTAGCAGCTGAGTCTTAAGAGTTTGGAGGGGGTAATATGCCTGTGTATGCTCTTCGACATTGAGGAGCCAAGTTTAAACAAAATTATATTAAATGCTGCCCTAGTGCTGCTATTTTACGTTTGCGGACATGGGTTCCTGTTTCAAAGTTGTTCTATAGGGAACCCTCAGTACGCTCCTGAAGTATGGCACCAAACACCTGGGACACCCTGTATTAATATGTAGTAATTGACTTGTTCTATATCTAGAGGTTGTATCTCCAAATATGGATTCTCAGAACAAATAAATTGATTGATTGATGTTTAATACAATATCAGGGGCTTGGGATTATAGTTGACAGGCACATAACACATTAGCTCACTTCACAGTAGCTGTTCTGAGATTTGCTCGAGTATAGCGTAGTTGGTGAGGAGATTGAACTCGGGTAATGCTTGCTACCATTCAGTCCAGAACATTTTGTCTTCTCGTCTGCTGTCCAAAAACATAAAAATTAGAATATACAAAACTATCATTTTGTCTGTGGTTCTGTATGAGGGTGAAATTTGGTCTCTGACATTAAGGGAGGGACATAGACTGAGGGTGTTTGTGAAAAGGGTGTTTAGGAGAATATTTGGACTGAAGAGAGGTGAAGTGATAGGAGGTTTAAAAAAACTGCATTGTGAGGAGCTTCATAACTCATACTCTACTGCAAGTATAATTAGAATGATCAAGTCAAGGAGGATGGGGTGGGCAGCGCATGTAGCACGAATGGTTGCAAAGAGGAATGCATATAGGATATTGGTGGGAAAGCCAGAAAGAAAGAGACCACTGGGAAGACCAAAGTGTAGGTTAGTGGACAATATTAAAATGGAACTTAAGAATGTTGCTATGACTCAGAATAGGGATGGAGGGCTCTTGTGAACACGGTAATGAACCTTCAGGTTCCATAAAATGCTGGCAAACTCTTGAGTAGCTACAGATTTGGTGGCTCCTCAAGAAGGGCTCGGCTCCCCTTACACTGTGACACTCCTGCATAGTGGGTCATCAGTCTGCAGGCAGTGGTCAATTTCTTCCAGGGCCCACCACTGCTCTAGCTCCATTTCTTTGGCTGGCAGTGGTGCCCTATGACTAGATGCCAGTCCCCATACTGCTTCTTCAGTGCTGACAATCTTCACTGTGGCCTCTTCTTTAGGGACCTCCTCATGCACCGCTATGGACTCTTATCTCTACAGAGGTTGACTCCTAAACTCTCCAGACAGGTCTCCCTCTTTTCTAGGCAGGCCTTCATTTCCTTTCAGTCAGTATCTATCTTGGCCTTCACCTTTTCTAGACAGGCTTCCGTTGCTTCTCGGCAGGCCTTATTCTTTTTTCACCAGGCATTCATATTGGCTTCCATCCTTTCCTTATGGGCGTCCATCTTGGCTATTATCTGTTCTAGCATGGCTACTATACATCTGAAATCTGCCATAATTATCTGTTACTAGTGTTCCAACTCAATGATACACAATTCACTAAGTTCAACACTTCAGTACAATCTATCAATCAATCTAATCCAATCCCACTTCTGACACCGGTTGTCACATGTAGAAGTGTGACTCTTGACGGGGTTTTGGATAACTAGATTTATTGATGACTTATGGATTGTAACTACACATAACTATAACAGTTTCACTGAATTACACACTCCAACTATCATTGTAACTATAGCATACATAAATTCTTCTGTCTTCATTAGTCCTTTCCTGGGAACGCGTTTTAACACTGTCAACTTACACCCTTACCATCTGGCACATATCTCTTAACCCCACAATTGCACTCGAAGAAAGAGTCGAAGTTATGTTATGACTGATGATCAGTTGGCCAGTCTGTCTTGGAATAAAGCACCCATCTGGGCCTCAAGACCAAATCTTTACTACTGTCAGACAGTTTCAGGTTTGTTGATGAGGGGCACTCTGTCTGATGAGAGGATGGATCTGTCGTTTGCCAGAGTCTGCACTCAGTCTTCACTTTGTCCTGCTTGTAACTCTTCAGCACGGACATTAGAAAAGCCCGTTACCAACAGTTCCTTTAATGTTGCAAGTTCATTTGTTGTTGTGATGTGTTTGTTTGTGAGCAATACCCAGTAAGGGCTCTTGCATATTTGCTTATCTTGCAGTCACTGCCTACTAACGACTCTACACGCTACAGTATTCTCAGACACAGCACTAGATGAGTGATTAACCATTTTCATTTAATTTCCTCCTAATTCTGATATTTTAAAGGCAGTCAGAAATAAACTGTCATTGCATAACAAGACAGCAAAATGTCATTTTTGAGGCAAACTGATTTCAGCTTAAAGTAAATGAAGCAGGGCAACAAGGCTAAATATTAAATTCGCTTAGTGGCGGGTGGAGTCCAACTGGGTCCACTTGGCATGGCGGCCATTGATTGGCCTATTGTAGCCTGCTCCATGTGATTATGATGATGGAGAATTTGGTGGAATGAAGACTGGCTGGGGAAACCAAAGTACTCTGAGAAAACCTGCCAGTGCCACTTTGTCCACCACAAATCCCTCTTGATCAGACCCGGGGTGCTGCGGTGGGAGGCTAAATATTCAGTTATTCAGTATAGAGGGGGTGGGTTTCCCCATGCACCACGACTAACAGTCTATTGTACGTCCCCCTTTAAATTCTACTGTCACCATACCCTACCGATACTGGTGCCCGCTACCTCCCCTTTCTGCCAGCGAGGTCGGCCCCCTACTGGCAGTGGTACACAGTAACTCTCCCCTTTCTGCCAGCGAGGTCTGCCCTCTACTGGCATTGGTACTTGATAACTTCCCCATCTACCGGAGGCACTGGAAACTACTTGGGCGGGAAACGTTTTGCCTAATTTTGCTCACAGGTCTCCTAGAGACATGATGATCTTTTACGTGCCGTAAATCTACGACACGTGACCCACGGCTTAAAGTCCCTCCCGGAAGACTTGATCCCTGAATTTTTCCACCCTTAAAAATTCCACGACCTCTGCTGGGTTTGAACCCGTGTACCTTGAGTCATGAGGTGGGAACGTTACTCCTAGATTATTACTTTAAAGTGAAAAGATTAATCAATACAAATTTAAATCACCAATATATAGAAAATTGACAAGACAAGAATTCTTGGTTGAACAGTACCTATATACAGAATAAGCAGAACACTATGAATGATCATGGTAAGGCTCCACACATTTTAACCTCAAAGCTAGATAGAAATAGAAGTAAGCTTCAGTCCCCAGCCCCAGGGGTATAGGCACTATTGCCCACTAGGTGGAACCTGGGTGGGCCAGTCTGGATGTAGTGGCAAAGAGAAAAAAATCTTTCACCTGCTGGAAATCAAATCCAACCATCCAGTCGTGCGAGTTTTCAGTATGGCAATTACTTAGCAAAACACACACACAAAAGGGAATAATGCTGTCTCATGCAGTCTGGTTATCTGTATGATAACAACCTCGCTGGCCTTGATGTTTATTTGATGAAGATTACAAGCCTATTTTGCAAATATAATCATACAATAGATAAAATACTGCAGTCATAAATTATTTTTCCATACATTTTGTTAAATACCACATTGAAAAATGTCTCTGATAAAGTTGTACATTTTAAAGAAATTTATAATTTACATTATGTACCAAATTTTTGTATGATAGAATATTTTTGAAAAATTTAGTAAAGTTCAATAGTAAATTAGAGATTACCTATACTGGACCCATACATAGGTTGGCTTTGGCCTAATGTGGAGATACAGCTCTAGCCTTTCATAATGTTTGACACTATATGAAGTTGAGTGGCTAACAGCCATGTCCTGGCTGCTTTACCCATAGTATGGGAAGCTGGGTGGAGTTCTGAGACAGTCTGAGCATGGTGGCCCCCACTAAACATTGAACTCCAAACTTACCTGTTACCCAGCCTGCAATCTGAACTACCTAGCTCACAATGAATGAATACAAATTTTCCCTACAACTCTCACTGCAGACCCTGTCAATACAAAATTTTGTTGCATGTACACGACTTCCCAACTGAACTTACACATTTACTTTACATAATTTGGGTAAAGATAAATAGTTCTTAAATACTAGATAAATACAGCCTTACTGCATAAAGGATAAACAAGTTCCTGTGCTTAACTAATTAAGCACTAAGCCATGAAGATATATGAGTGGATGTATAGAGCCACATATTCTTGACTTCAGCTCTAGTTAAGAAGTTGGTCCACTTCGCACCCTGACTCCGTTACCCATGGGGAAAGAGTTCCTGGTACCCACTGGATAAGAGCCTGGGTAGGCCCTAGAACCAGTTTGGACAATGTAGAGAGGAGAAAAATCCATCCTTAGGTTGTCGAGTCCATAGCCAGTCGCTATGCCAACTGCACTATTCTGCCTCTTGTATTACATAAAATAGTAGTAAAACTCAGGTTTCACAATGAAAAGAGTGGGAATTAATAACTGATGGGTGACTTAAAAAGAGGTTTATTACAGTAATTTTTACTCGGAGACACTATACACAATCTCAAGTTTTTATTTCTCCATTTCTTGCTTTACCTAATAATACACTTATCACTCAAGTTTTATATAACAACTTTCTACAGGTCATTAAAATAATACCAGTTTTAATTCTAATGAAGGCATGTAAAATTCTGTCAGTAAAACTCTGTTCAATCAATGCAAAGCCAAAACATAGATTTAATCATTCGTCTCGAGTTACACTTGTTCACCGTGTGATGATTACAGTATATTACAAAATTATAAGCCAATAACAAATGAGTAAAACCTTGTAACAATATCATCTGACCCCACATTACTTGTTTTCAGTATCTCACATGCATATGGACACATGGGTGAACACACATACACAAGCAGTTCACTTTCTTTACCGTACAGCACAAGCAGTAGGCAAAGTATAACAACTGCTTCAAATTTATGTATTCATCATGTGGCCATGGCAATAAATAAATATGTATATTATTACACCCAAGTATATAACAGAATGATCACCCCAACAACTGCAAACGTTTTTATAATTCTGAACACAGCCATTCAAATTAAAATGAACATTCTGCAGGATCATATGTGATACAAGATTGTGAAAAAGAATGTCTGGAACAGATCAAGAATTGTTTTACTCTTTCCTTATTCTAATGAACTTTCGTTTTTCAATAAGAAGTGTGTTGCTACTTCAGATTTCAAATGGCAGCAACTATTTATGCCCCTACAATGTGTGTACATATATATATATATATAATATATTTATTTTCAAAAGTCACATATTTTCTACTGTGTGATCACTTCACATTTGCCTTGAGATGCTGCAAGAATTCATAATAAGATAGTGCCGATTCAGAACGATCCTCAATCAGTCGCTCAATGAACTTCCCTCGGTAAAGGCTGTCATCCCTGGAAGGCACATTTTAAAATAAATGTCTGTTAAGAAAAAAGGCAAAGCTTATTCCATAAGAGCTATGAATCAAAATAGTTACAACAACATGGAAGAGGATTAAAAAAAAGTAATTTAATCAAGGAAATAAGTCTACATGCCCAATGAATAAAAAAAAAAGTCAAACCATACAGGAAACAAGTACTTAAAAATATGAATACAGCTTCCACCAAAGTAGGAGTTAGGACTAAGCTGTAAAGAAACAAAAGCATTACCATCATCTCAGCTTAAACAAAACAAAAATGACTACATAAACTATTATAAGTATAGATCTTGGTGCTAACTGAGGTGAGTAGTTAGATTCATGTTCCAGCTGCTTTATCTCCAGGGAATGTTCTTTCAGAATTGTATGCATAAAAAGGCTGTTGCAGACCACACTGTTTTCAAAACTAGGCCAACTAGCTACTAAGACTTTCCTGTAAATCAATTTCTGTAACACATAGTTTAACATACAGTGAAACTGTGGTAGAATGAAGACTTCACTAAAAAAAACAAACACCACTGAAACCATCAATTTCTTAACATTTATGTATGGAGAACCACAGCACATACAAAAGGCTTAGTTCTGGCACAGTCATCATAACCTGTGATTCATAACTAGCCATCATTGTCTTTCCATGATTTCTCACACCAACTACACTTGCAGTTTCACTTCTGAACTTACATACATGGTCTGTCCAGGTTCTGTTAGGACTCATTTTTTTAAATTTTTCCCTGCAATGCAATCTGTTGGGGAGTTGTAGTGTTAAGATTTTTCAAGTTTCAGCTGTGGCTGTCTATAATTTCAAAGCGCAAGCATTGCTGCTTCATGTGTTCTGACCTTGAATGTTAACAGACTGTTCTGACGCGCGTCGGAAAATGGTGGCTGAACAGAAAGCCAACATCAAATTTTGTCTGAAGTTAGGCAAAACAGCTGGAGAAGCACATAAAATGATGAAAAGTGTGTATGGTAGTGACTGTTTGAGTCACTCGAACATTTTTCGATGGTATGCTGTATTTCGTGATGGCAGAGAGGTCTCTGAAGATACTCCACGTGCATCAAAGCTGAGAACAAGTCGCACTGAAGAAAATGTGAAAAAAGTGACCTAAATCCTTGCATCAGACAGATGTGTTTCTGCAAGATTCATCGAGGAGCTTTTGGGAATAGCAAAAAGTACTGCGCATCAAATTTTGACCAACGACTTGGGCAAATGGAGGTCCGTGCGCGGTTTGTACCGCACGCGCTGTCAGGCGATGAAAAACATGCCAGAGTGGAACACTGCAAAGACATGTTACAGTCGGCCCAAAGTGATACAAAATTTACAAAATTGATTGTTACTGGTGACGAGACATGGTGTTTTCAATATGAGCCTCTCACAAACCAGCAGAGTGCAGCGTGGTTGAGCCCGAAGAAGCCGAAACCAAAGCAAGTGCGCATGCAAAAGAGTCAAGTAAAGACACTGCTAACCATTCTCTTCAATTCCAAAGGAATCATTCACAAGGAATTTCTGCCAAAATGTCAAACAGTGAATTCTGATTATTATCTCGGAGTCCTCAATCGTTTGTGGGTGAGAATTCTTTGAATGCGACCTGAATATTGAGAGCAAGGTTCTTGGTCGCTCCTCCACAACAATGCCCCACCCCACAAATTGATGACTGTGTGCGATATTTTGGCCACAATTGGGATCACAGTCCTTGATCATCCTCTATATTTGCCAGATTTGGTTCCACCAGATTTCTGGTTGTAGCCAAAAGTTAAGTTGGTGATGAAAGGAGACCGTCATGACATCATCCAGGACATCCAAAGGGAATCTACTGCAGTTTTAAATGCGATTCCATGAAAGGAGTACAGTGACTGTTTTCAAAAACTTTTCAATCGGTTCCAGCTATGTATTGATTCAGAAGGAGACTATTTTGAATAAAGAGAGTGAAAATTAGAAAATAATTCATGTCTTGTATTTTTTATGAACACAGTCCTAACAGAATCTGGACACACTGCATATGACTAGCAGGCTGCAAAGGTGCCATTAACCCACCCACTCGGCCTCAGCCCGTCTATGAAAAATTTCACATTCCAGAATTTGTCAGCATATAATACACCAAAGCAAACTAGTGTTGTTCATTTCTTTCATGAGTAATTATTGGTAAAATTTATTTCACACCTTGATCTCTAACTATGTGATGAAGTTAATGTGATGAGACCTGCCATAGGTGTAAGCACAATAGATGGTGCAGATTCTATCCAGATATTTTACAAACAGGGTTATTTCCATTACTGAGTGTGGTAATGTAAATGTGTTATTTGATAAACAGTTACAGATTCATGTACAGTCTATATTCCACTACAATACCATGCATTTTACAGCTAAATATAAACATTCACTCACACCATCACTTAAATACTTAATATCAAAAAGTTGCATGTATTCAAATGATGGCACAAAAGACAACTAGTAATGTAATGTATGTACAGGTATATAAATATTGGTGCACTTTAAATTATTGGGTGTGTTATACCTGTTACTCAAGTTCAGTACAGGTTGATATATTTATTTTCATATGAATGCACATGAAGCAAACTACATACAAAATGTGGATAGGACTTGTGAGGACACAGTGAACTGTAAGCAGAATATGAGGGACACATGCTTGCAGGCATGCAGAAAACAATGGATGGGACATCTGCTTGTAAAGGATGACTAGTCAGCTGTAAACAGATGAGTTTATGAAAATTGTAAGAAAATATTTCAACTCTTTCTTTCAGATAGTGCTAACAACAGTGAGAATGCTAAATTATTCATTATTTTCATATCTCCATGATAATCATTTCAGAGCAGAAAAAATACTACTGTATCCATATTATTATTTAAAACTTCAAGGCATACTGCATTATAAATAAGCAAAGTTAGGGGCTGAAATTGCAGTCACATATAAAAATGATTTTCCATTAATATGAATATCTGGAACAAGAAGCATTTTTTTAAGATTTCATAAAGTCTCATTATATCCAGGTCCCACTAAATATCAACGAATATTGCATACAACCCTTAACAATTATGTAAGTCAATAAAATATTACCTGATCACTTGGAGCATTGTTGGATATGGCTTCTCATTCTGCAAGTGATTCACAAAGTTTCGCAACCTTTCTGACTCTGGGCTTTCTATCTCAGGCAGTTCATACTAAACACAAGAAAGAAGCCTTCAGTAACAATGACAAGACCACTTCCATCATATGCAAAACAAGTCTATTTATCAGTAGTCATAATTAATTTATTAATGGTGAATTACTTTCTAAATTAAATAAATAATTTTCCTGTGGAGTAGTGTGGCCGGTGCATAAGGCTGATAACCTGACCGCCATCTTTGAGCTGATTTTCTAGATAATGTGGGACTCTCAACATCTCACAACCCTATGGGCCTTCGCGGCCTGTTACAGGGATAGCTTTACTTTTCTTTTTGATTTTTTAAGATAAAAGTAAGTAAAAGTAAAGGTATCCCTGTAACAGGCCGTGGAGGCCCATAGGGTTGTGAGATGCTGAGGTTCCCACATTTTCTAGACAATCGGCTCACAGATGACGGCAAGGTTGTCAGCCCTACACGCCGGCTGCCCTTTACTCCCAAGAATATTCCTGGTACTCATTTCTGTTAGAGGATGAGTTGACCCCAGGGCCACAGTGCAGCTGGAAGGATTAGGTCAATTGAAAATAAATTCAATTACCTCATCGGGACTTGAACCTGCGACCTTCTGGCTTGTAGCATAGTTCCTCAACCAACTATGCTACTGCGTGCCCCAATTAGTTAAGATATAGAACTTTAAACTACTGATATACTGGCTTTAAAAACTACACATGTTCACTGAATTCATCATATGCAGATTTATTATTGTCGTGAATAAAGATTTTACTTTTAACTTCAAGGCCTGAAGTTGCACTGAGAAGTATGCCCCCAGTTTCAGTTTGTTACCTAACTGGAACACAACTTGCATACAGTGTTTCTAGTTTTATGTTACAAACTGACAAATTTATTAATTATTATTAAGTCAAGAGCAAGTACAATGGCAACAGCACTGATGATGATACTGATGGCAATAATTCAGTTAAACTCACTGGGCAGAGCACTTGCCAACCCTGTAAGGGTAGGCNTCTCTGATGTAATTAAAAATGTTTTAAGCTGCACAATATATAAAAATAACATGTGCATGATTTAGGAAAATAAAAACACAAATTATTAATGAACCTTAATTATATCTATGAAGTACTTTTCTGTTATACTGTATGTTTGTCATTTAAAGTCATCTTTCTTATCACTGCATACAAGTATATATATGACAATTAGACTAATAACACTTTCTGGGGCTGCAGCTCTCTCTCTGGGAAATGCTGGTCTACAACATTACTACTACAGAAATCTGCTTCATGTGAATGGAAATTTAGCTTAATCATAGCCACTACACTATACAAAGTAGGACACAGGATGTATTGGCACTGTTGACATTTACATGCATATACCGATCATAAGCTATGGCTTAATGTTCTGGGGAAATTCGCCCCACAGTTTAAAAATATTTAGAATGCAAAAAAGAATAATAAGAATTATGATGGGCTGTAGGAGCAGGGCTTCGTGCAGGAATTTCTTTAGGAAGTTGGAAATTTTGCCTCTTGCATCACAATATTTTTTTTTTCACTCATGTTGTTTGTGGTCAATAACAAGGATCTCTTTATTTTAAATTCAGAAAAGCATAATACAGATACAAGACAATCAAATAATTTTTATCTGCCTATAGTAAACTTTACAGTTTACCAAAAGGGAGTGTACTCTATGGGTATTAGGGTGTTTAACAATCTTCCTCCACATATTAAAGATATATCTCATAATCCAAGGAAATTTGAAGCCTGTTTAAAACATTTTCTTTATACACATTATTTTTATTCCACTGATGAATATTTTCAATTTAAGGCTATTGCAAGTCAATGACATACCATAGAATTTATATATATATAGTTTAATAAATTATGTTTATTGTCACCAAGCTTTAAAACTACAGTAGAACTTGGTTATAAAGTCATCAAAGGGACCTAAAAATAGTGTCGTTATAACCGAAATGGGCACTTCCACAGTAGCCTTATGTTAGTCACGTAAAAATCTACCAAAAACCGAGTTAAAATGTTGCATTTTTTAGTGAAATACGTAGTTAAGTACAGACTAACGTAACATTAACGTGGAATTGCCCAAATGTGTAATATCAAAGACATATTACAGCGCTTTTCACTGACAATACACACCGCACTAATACTGTATATTAAAGGTAGGCCTACTCACCAAATTACAGTAGATTACATCAATTGTTGTGCCTCACTGTACCTAGATACGAGTACAGTAATCAGTTATCTTCATCTGTTTCCTGTTACTTTCCCAATACACACTTTCTAAATTACGTTCAATGTCCATATCAGAGAAATTCAGGAATGAAAATGACGTTACATACGAGATTGATGCATTTGTGCATGTCGTACTAAGCAAGGTATAAAAACAGTTGCTTTATGAGGAATTAGTTCGTACCATTGAATATTTGACGCAATAGACAAGGTGTCGCAGAAACCGATGTTGCTATAACCAAGTTTTACTGTATTAGTAATAGAACTTTTTATATTTGTCATCATTTTATTTTATTCTATTTTTTGGCTTATTTGTCTTTTATATATGCACTACTTGACATGTTCCATATCCTACCTGTTTTACTGTGGGTCTATGGAATGTAAAATGAATGAATGAAAGAACAATCCAGAAAGCATCCTAATAATTCATAATGGCGTGTAATTGGTTGACTGTCTTACCATTTCTTCTGGTATGTGAGAAAAGGATGGGACACCCAGAACAGCAGTACAGAACTGAGTGCTGATATTATGACCAACATACATCATCATGTGGTCACCAGCATCCATAAGGAAGGCTCCATTGGAGTTCAGTTTCTCTGCTGATAAATGGAGACGTGGAGGCTGAGGAACAAGGGTGCCCTCTATATCTACCTCAGCACAACTCTGCATCATAAAAAGGAATCAATAAAACACAGGAAGAAATTAAATTCCTTGTGATCAAGTGTCACATACCCATAGGTACTGCACTCCACTCCGTGAAGGCAAAAATGCGAAGAAAAAAAATTGCCATTCTTAACATTGAGTTTACTGACATCTCCTAAACAAAAGAAACAAACTCTGTAGCCTGTAGTCCACAAGTGAACTATACCGACTGAGCGACTGCTGCTTATCGGCGAAGTTAGTGCCAACTTTTGGGGACAGAGGGTGTCAAGTGGTCAGCACAACAGATACCCACGGCTGTTAACCCGTTGCCGTGGTTCGTCGTGTATGTTTCGTCAGGGATTTAAATCGTCTGGGGGGGTTCGACGTGTATGTTTCGTTCAGCTGCACACCTATGTTATAACGCCCATAATAATTGATGGTTTTGCTGTAGATTGTTAGATTTTTCGCTGGCCTGTTGTCAGTAGAACAGAGTATAAATAAGACACGACTTTATCTG